ATCTCAACCAAATGATAAGTTGACCATAGAAAATGATAAATTTACTTTAGTAAATGACAATTTCAGTCAACCAAATCACAATTTTACTAAAGGTATGACAAATGACAAGTTGATTATGAGAAATAACGAGTTCACTTTATTGAATGACAATTTCAATAGACCAAATCACAACTTGGCTAAGGGACATTTTAAATTTCTTGTCAAGATTTCATATTTGCAATATGAGATTGAGTCCCTTATGATAATTTTACTTATTCAGATGACTTCTTTATAATTTTGGTAATTTAGGGGTCTTTATTTGTGATTTTCCTAAAAAAGTAATACACCGGAACCTAGGTTGGAATAATTTTCAATTAAATTAGTCAAAAAGTCAAAAGAAAGGTTGCAGAAAAACCAAGCCTAGACCTCTGGATGTATAGAAAAGCAACAGTCCCACCACGCGTAAGGGTGAATGTTTTGTCAAGACTGACCACAAGGAAAAAGAAGAGAAGCTGCATTTTGTTTTGTCATGTGAATATTTTTATTAGAGGTATAATAGAAAAAAATTGAAGATGTAATTTTATTCATGATCCCTTCGGATGTTTTTATTTTATTAAGAAAATTTTAATGAGATCCTAAATAATAAATATAATTACTAAAAATCTGAATGATGAGTGAGCCCTTATTATTTATTGCTCTAAAACTGCCTTTTTAGACCCTCGCCCTACAGGGTCAGGACCAATTCTTTTTAAACCCTGTTTTTCATTTTAATAGAAAAATTCTAAGCTAGATCCTCATAATTTTGTGGCTAGACGTGCCAGTCAGATAAGCTCGACCTATTTTTTTGCTCTAATTACAAGCTGCTTTGTTATTATTGAAGCTTTTTAATAATTATATTGTTTACTTAAAAATTTATTGCAATTCTTCCCATTTTATTTGGTGTAATTTTATTCTTGATCTTTGAATGCAGCGGTAAAATTTTAAGAAAAAAATATGGATAAATCATATTACTGAAAAAGCTAGGGATAAAAATTATACCATTAAAAAATTAAAGGTAAAATTGCATTTTGGTCTAATAGAAAAACTAAAATGCTTTTTAAAATACTGAATTCTCATTCCAGAAAAATGCCATGAAAAGCACAAAATTATTTGAAGTACCTCGTTATATAAATAATTTTTAGCGTACGTTAATCAAAGTGTCCTGACTTATAGTGAGAATGGAAGGCCAAAAAGGAATTTAAAAAAATGCAACACTGAAAAAATAAAAGACGTTTAGAATTAAAAATTATAATATTATTATATTAATGACATGTAAAATAAATTTATAAAATTAAAAAAATAATATAGAAATCAGTATGAAACACCTCGTCCAGTGTCATGTCCAACTCTAAGACATTTTGTCTCATCTCTCTTTTATTTCGTCTCAAAAATTTTTGTTTTAAATTACTGAATTTTACTTGTTCATTCATACTCAAACACTAACATTTGGTGTTATGAATTTTCTTATATTTCTTGTGAATCACCAAATTTATATTATAAATCCATGAATTTTTGTTGTAAATCTTTGAATTTCATTTACTATTTCACACATAAATACTTGTATTTGGAGTTGTAAATTCAATTATGTTACTTGTAAACAGCCATATTTTTGTTGTGACATGCTGAATTTCACTTACAAATTGTCGAATTTTACTTATTCAGTTACACTTGGACACTTGCATTTATTTTGTTATATATATTTGCATCATATGACTAAATAACTTAGTTAGCTTAGTTTTATGTTAATGGAGTAATATGGGAGCTAATGGCTTAGTTGGCCTGGCTTTGTGTTAATGGAAAAGAGACTATTTATTTGCATCATATGTTAATGGAGTAATATAAATATATATTATATATATTTGTTTTGTTATATATATATATATTATTATTTTTCAAAAGGCTTTTCTAAGAATTTCTATTTAGGTCGGACCAAGGCTAAGCACAAATACGAAGACAGCCCGATACCCAAACTCCACGTCATGTGGGTGTACTTGGGTGAGATGAAGCCTGGCCATATGAGCCTGCATAGTCCTCCCATTCTCAGATACTCCCTCTCATCCATAATATACAAAGTTGATCAAATTTTATCACAAACTAAAAAATAAAGTTTAAATTCCTAAAATGATAAAGTTTTTCTTTTTTATTCCTAAGGAATATAATTCAAAAGTAATAAATTATCTCTCATCTCTTGTTTATATTTAATAGGGGAAAAAGTGAAAAAATGACATTAATTCGTTTTATATTTTGCATCACGTAGTTTTTCTAACCAACTTCTTTGATTCGGATGAAAAGTCAAATCACATGGATATATAGTATTATATAGTAGTCAAAAAAGTAAAAAAGAAAAAGAAAGAAAAAGAAAAAGAGCATGGGCGGTATATAGTTCGTGGGTCGATCTCATAGGCAAATCGATAATTGATTTTTTATATCCCTAACAACCAACAAGCCTATGTCATAAATTTTAAAGCTAAAGGTGATAATTAAAGCCCGTGAGCTTTAAAAATAAGGTAGAAATAACCCATGTAAAGAGGACAAATCAAGAGGCTTAGAAGATGGGGACAAGTTTTATGCATTGTTATAAGTTCAATAAGGTTAGGATTAGGAAAGAAGAATCTATTTTTGAGAGGACATCTTGTTTTTAATTTTTGATAGGTTTTTGTCTTGAAATTTTTTAAGCTTTTTTTTTCCCCTCTTGGTCAAGCCCAAAGCCTGTCCAGTTTTCTAAATCCGTTCAGATTTTCAGTCTAATTTTGAGTTCTAAGTCAATGGGTCAATGAGTGCTCAACTCTGATTTTTTTTTTTTTGGCTCCATAATGAGTCGTTGAACTGGTCCAACGCTTTAATCGTTGAGTAAATCCTAACAACTGACAATCCTATTCATAAATAAAAAAAATAATTAAAAAAATCCTGAGCGGCCTATATAGACTCAGCTCGATCGCAGGTGAAGAAAACAAAGGAGGATTGAAGCAAAGTAAGGAAGCATACTGAAAAAATGGGATTTTGGGTCAGAAAACAAGTGATGAGGTGGGTGGTTGCTGTTATTATAATAATATTAGGGTCTGATGATGGAAGTGAGGGATGTTTGGAAGAAGAGAGAGAAGCTCTTTTGAGATTGAAAGAAGCTTTCAATTACCCAAATGGTTTTGCTCTTCCTTCTTGGAATAACCTTAACCATTATGATTGCTGCACTTGGGAGGGTGTGACCTGTGATGCTTCTACACACAGAGTTATAAGCCTTGTTTTGATCAATAAAAGAGCTCCAGAGTTAGAACACTTCAAGTGGTCATTGAATGCTTCTTATTTTCTCCCTTTCCACCAACTTCAAGAATTGGATTTGTCTGGAAATTACTTGTCAGGTCTCTTTCTTCTCCCCTCTAATTGTTTTATGATTTGCATATTTAGAACATATTTAAGAGTAACTGATCTGATGATATTTCTGTTGTTATATATTGGAGCAGGGCTATTTGGCGAAATTATGTTGGACAACTTGCAAGCTTTGTATCTGGAAGATAATCAGCTGACTGAAATCCACTTCTCTGGTGCTTGAGTTTTACTTTCCAAGTTCTCTTAGGTCCCATATCATGTTCTTTGGTTCTTGCTTTTTAGAAAGATCAGCAATCGAAGTTTAGAGGTCGTTGAAAACATTGAGAGTTGAATAATAAGATGGTGTCTTTTCTGGCAAGAAAAAAAAATATGATGGTGTTTTTACTTAAATGTATGAAAACTGAAGGAAAAAATAGGGATTACTAAGTCATTTAGTAACTTGATCAATCAATTTTGAGATAAATAAAGTAATGGCAGCTCCAAGCCACCAGCAACGTGAAGGCTATAACTTGAAGGACATAAAACTTAGTATACACTTGTTTACTTATTTATGATCATGTTTTTTAATATTTATATTTCATGTTTTGTAGATGATTTTCATTCACGCAATTCGAAGACTTTGGAATTATCTTCAAATTACTCGGAGGGCGGTTATGCAGAATCTAATCAATTGTCTCTCACATCTCCAACCTCCTTGCGAATATTGTCCCTTTATAACAATAGCCTAAAAGGCTCATTACCACAGCAAGGTAATATCATATTTATATCTTTCTTTGGTAAAAATAATTTACTATGTCAAATGTTTAACCTCATTGATGAATTATTTATTTTGCTATATTTATAGAACAGACAGAGAAAAAAAATTTTGTTCTATTTATAAAATAGAGAAATTTTTTTATGCAAATGTACAATTTTATCTTTCATTTATTATTATGTTAACATTGTTTTCATGGGGTATAATGTGCATCAAATAAAAATAAAGTTGAAAAATCATTGAATTTTAAATAAAAGTTAATAAAGTTTAAGGTTTTTCTTGAGTTATATTGATTGAATAAGTAAGCATTTAATTTTCATGGATAGGCCAATATATAACTTGCTGTAGTTATTCTAATGCGTCTAGCCCTAGAGAGAACTGCTATATTTTATAGTAAAACTCGACTTATATCTTAAAAATTTTATTTGAAATAATGTTTAATTGAGGCAGAGTGAAAACAAGGAGAGAAAAATATTTTTTGAGATCTAAACACAAATGTCAAGAAGATAACAATTTTGATTTCTTTCTTGCACTATGGAGCCTCAATTTTTTATTTTTGGTCATATTAGGAGTGATTGAACTCTTAACCTCTACTCACACTCCACTAAACTAACCTAACCTAAATGGCCCTATATATGTACTCCTATCAGTTCAAATTCCCTTTTAGGAGCCCATAATCAATTTTTTTAGCTCAAGTATTTAATCATAAATTAATTTATGAAGTCTAATCTACACATAAATTGGTTCATTGCGCATGCACCCATACTTTAAAAAATCGTTAATATATATTAAAGTTTAACCTATATATTGCATAAAGTTTAACTTTTTCTTTTCCATCACTTAAAGAATTTAATAAAAAAATACATATGTTGCAGGAGGCTTATGCAATTTGAAGAATCTAGAAATGTTGTCACTTGGCGAGAACAAGTTTGAGGGACTCCTTCCTCCATGCCTCAATAATTTGACATCTCTCCGTGTACTTGATCTTGAATACAATGGTTTTGAAGGAACCTTCCCATCTGAACTCTTTCATTCTCTCAAGTCCCTCAAATACATTACCTTAGATGAAAGTAATTTCACTGGCATAGCATCGCTTTCTTTGTTTGCCAACCACTCCAACCTTCAAGTTTTCACAATTTCATGCTTTAATAATCCCAATCTCAGGATTGAAACTGAAAACCCCCAATTTGTCCCTTCATTCCAATTAAAGATTTTCAGTGTATCCAAGTGCACTATGAATGAAGGAAGCAATGACAGAATTGTACCATCTTTTCTTCTTCATCAACATGACTTGAGAGTTCTAGAACTTGTCCGTTTGAACCTTTCGGGAAGTTTCCCAAACTGGGTTTTCACAAACAATACCAAATTAAATACTCTCAATGTCAACAACAACTTCTTGACTGGTCCCTTCAAGCTCAAATCCACCTCAAAATTACTTGATATGCAGTATTTTCATGCTTTCGCTAACCCTATTAGTGATGAAATCCCTCCTCATATTGGATATGTTCTTCCCAACTTGCTTTCTCTAAACATGTCTTCCAGTTCATTATTTGGTGGATTTCCAGCTTCGCTCAGTGATATGAGGCAATTAAACTCGCTAGACTTGTCCAATAACAATTTGGCTGGCTATGTGCCCCAAGAATTTGGGAAGGGTGCCAATGACTTGCGGTTTCTGAAGTTGTCAAAAAACAACTTAAGTGGTCCGTGTTTACCAGGAGGTTCAAATTTCACACATTTGTTGTCTGTGGATCTAAGCAACAACAACTTCAAAGGAAAAGTGCCAAATGGGATTGTTAAAAGTTCAGAACTAAGAATGTTGGATTTAAGTGCAAACCAACTATATGGAGAAATACCTAGTTGGATTGGAAACTTCAAGCATTTGGCTTACCTCATTTTATCCCAAAATTCTATGTCAGGTCCAATTCCACAAAGCTTTTGCAATTTAGCTGAGCTCAAATACTTAGACCTTTCTCAAAATAGATTCAATGGCACTTTGCCCAGCTGCCTAAATATGTCATCACTGAGGTACTTGCATTTACAAAGCAATGGTTTTATGGGACCCATACCTTTTGTTGTGGCCAAATCTCCCTTGCTGTTAACCTTGGATTTGACAAGGAATAGATTTTCCAGTCATATTCCGCGGTGGTTCAAGTCAATGTTGAATCTGAGGGTCCTCCTCCTAAGGGGAAACAAACTCGAAGGTTCCATTCCTGTGGAATTATGCAGGCTCAAGAACATAAGCATACTGGATCTTTCACAGAACAAGCTTTCTGGTGGGATACCATATTGCTTGAACAACATCAACTTTAGAAGGAAGGATGAGATCGACGAAGCCAAACTGGGAAAATATTTTGTACCCTGGACTACAAGAGGCCCCTTATTTGAATTCAATCACACAAGTGGGGAGCTTGTTCAAGGTGAATATGTAATGAATTTTTCATGGCACGAGGAACAAGGAGTGAACTTCATGTCAAAAAGTAGGTATGAATTATATGAAGGAAATATATTAGATTTCATGTCTGGCCTAGATCTCTCAGATAATCAGTTGACAGGTGAAATCCCTTTACAAGTTGGATACCTCAACACTATCCATACGTTAAATTTGTCAAAGAACCATTTGTCAGGGCCTATTCCGGAAACAGTTTCTGACCTTATGCAGATAGAGAGTTTAGATCTTTCATACAACAAACTGACAGGTCATATTCCTTCCCAACTTACACAGTTGTATTCTCTATCTGTCTTCTTTGTGGCTCACAATAATTTATCTGGTATGACGCCTGAAATGAAAAATCAATTCTCAACTTTTGACCCAAGTTCTTATGAAGGAAATCCTTTTCTTTGTGGTCCACCTTTACAACATAATTGTTCATCTATGGATAAACCAGCAGGGAGAAACGCACAATCATATCATTCAGAAGAAGATGGCTTCCGAGAAGCTTTCTTATGGAGTTTTACAGGAGCATTTGGAGTCTTCTTTCTTGGTGCCGTTACCTGCATGTATCTCAACTCTTACGTACTTTATTGTATATTACATGTGATTTCAAAGAGAGTGGACAGATTATTTGTATAGGTAGAAGTAAGAAAAAACCCGTTAATTTTTTATGAGATTTTGATCGTGTAAGTGATGGTGAACTCGAGAAATACAATTTTGTGCATAATCCGATTGGAAATTGTAGTGAATACTACCTCTTGCCCTAAATATAAGATCTAATTTATAGTACAAATTACATTACAAACTAGGTCTTATATTTAGGATTGATGGTGGTATTTAGCGGATTTATAGTCCTGCTCTAAATTGTAATGGGATGTCCCACATGTGTTCACATACTGGAATTACATGTACACATTAGGATGAGTTTTCTCAATATTTGGCTAATTACATAATAATTTATTTGAAAATATCTAGCATCCTTACAAATGAGATTGAAAAAAACTATAGGACAAATGTGTAGTCAACACCTTAATCTTATTTTCTAGGTACATTCAGCGCACTAATCTTTTAGAGAGAATTACAATCAAGTCCCAAGAAAGAAAAATAATTACTAAAAAGTCTTAATAACAAACTAAGCAGCCTGTGATGACAAGATTCAAAGTAAAAAATAACAACTTTAGAGACTTGTTTTGTAATTATTTTTCTTTTCTGAAACCTCATCGTAATTCTCCTGATCTTTTACATCACGCATCCAATATCCTGATTTTTTTTTTTTGTGTACCCACTATCCAGCACTCCGATGTTATTTTTTGGTCACATCCTACACCCTAATTTTTATGGTGCTGGATACACTAAAAATAGGATTAGTGCATTTAGTACCTTAACTTGCTAGATGCACTAAAAATGAGATTAGGGTGTTGGATGTACTAAAAAAAAAAGATCACGATGCTAGATGTACCTAAGAAATAAAGCTATTGAATGCGCCTTTACTCCCAGAAAAAAAATTAGGGAGAATTATAGTGAGATCCAAAAGAAGGAAAATAATTACTAAAAAGTTCTAACAACTACCTAAATAGCCTGTAATGATAAGTTTCAGAGTAGAAAATGACAAATTTTGAGACTCATTTTGTAATTATTTTTCTTTCTTGAGACTTCGTTCTAATTTTCTTAAAAAACTATAATACATATAACAGCTATGTTTAAATGAAAATGTATGTTATGATTTATCACTACCGGAAAGGTAAAAAAAAAAAATAAATACCAGAAATTCGAGATGAGAGATGCATAAATAAATAGGTTAAGGTGTAAACTTACCTTTTTTTTTTTGGTGCCAATTTGCTTTGAGAGTTTCATAGCAGTTTTATCCTTTGGATTTCAAACTTTTAGAGCAAATTTGCACATACAAAAAAAACCTTACGGGTGCTTGACAAACTCAATTATTTTTATATATTTTGGTATCTTTTATATGGGTTTTGTCAACTTAATTGGTCCCTTTTTGCCTTAATTGATTGTTCTTTGATTTATTTTATTTTATTTTGAATTATTATTTTATAGGGGCAAAATTGTCATATTTTGGTTTAATTGTGACTAATTGATTTTTGAGGACAATTAATGCTACTTTATCCTTAAATTTTGTTTGCAGGTTTTTGGAAGATTTAAAAATAAAAATGAAAATTAAAGAAAAAAAAAAGAAAGAAGAAAAAAGAAAAGAAAAAAAAATATAATTAAAAAAATAATAAAAAAAAAGGGGAGCAAAACGTTGCGTTTTGCCCCCCAACCTAATATACTATTAGGGGTGTGCATAGACCAGACCAGACCGGGTTAAGCATCAACCCGAGATCTGGTCTGGTGAAGATCTCGGGCTGCACAAAGCAGCCCGTAGTCTGGTCTGGTCCAGCACTAACCCGAAGTCAGGCTGGACCAGACTTGGTCTGGAGGACTACCTGGACTAGTCCAGGTAGTCAATGGTGTCAATTTTTTTTTCGTCTTCCAAGCAAATAGAATTGATCGGAGGAAGAAAAAACAGCAGCCAAATATTCAACACACGTTCAAAATGTAAAAAAAAAAAAAACTAATGGAAATAGGAAAAAAAATCTGTGGGTGAAGAAAAAAAAGAACCAACACAGATAGAATCAACGCACAGAGGACGAATGGCAAGGTAGAGAGCAGTGGAGACTTCACCCATGTGAGAGAGAAGCATGAGGAGCAGATGGAGATGAATCATCAAACTAATTAACTAGATAACACGAAACTAAATAAACTAGATCTAAAAAAAAATCAAAGATCTTTTGCCATTGGAAAAACTGAAAAAAATAAGAACACAGCATCTAACATAAGTTAGATCTACAAAAATCGATTGAGGAAAAAGACAAGAAGAAGAAGAAGAAGCTGAGTATGCGAAGCAAAACCAGCAACTCCTTGAGAAGACCCAGCGCTAGTTCGTCGTTGGTTGAAGACGGTGGCTCCGTAGTGGGGATCTGACGCAAGGCTAATGAGCCACGGTTGATGGGTTGCAAATGAGGATAAACCTTCCATTTGCAAAGTTGTAGAGCAGAGGAGGAGGCAAAATGGAAAATGAGAAAATGACGAGGAGAGAAGGGGGTGCGAATGGAGAGAGAGGGAGCTATGAGGGAATATAAAATTAAAAATAAATATGTAGATATTGGGCCAGACCAGACCAGACTATTTGGTCTCAAAAGGTAGCCCGAAACCCGGTCTGGCCCGATGACTTGGTCCAGTTTGGTCAGTCTAGTTCTCTCACCAGGTTGTTTTTTTTGTCATCGGGTTGGACCGGACCGGACCGGGTCAAGACGGACCAGACTGGACTTCGGGTTTTTTGCACAGCCCTATATACTATAATTCAATCATCTTCTTCAGCCGAGGGGGGGGGGACACGCAAGGGAGACACACAAAACAGAACACGCCGAACGGAAGCTGAAGACGCACGCCGGACGGAAGCAAAGACGGAAGGCGCGGAGCGGAGGCGCAGCGGGAGAAAAACAGAGGAGGCGCACGCACGAACCAGGAAGCAGACACCAGAACGAAACGGAGGAAGCTGGGGGCGGCGAACAGAGCTGAACGGCGGCGACAGAGCACGCCGAACGAGCTGAACACGGGGGAGACACACACACACGCTGAGCCGGAGAAGCTTGCACGTACCTGAAGAAAAACAGAGCCGAACCATTCAGCGTGAACAGTGTTCTTCCATGGGATCCTGTAGCAAAATACTGATTGCAGCGAATTTGATGGCAAACCGTGGCTAATTCCTAATTCTCTAATTCAACAATAATGGCAGGAGCTTGGATCATCAAAGGGGAGTTTTAGTTGCTTTAATTTCCTACTCAATAATTGTTTAACAATTCCTAGGTCTTAGGATAGTTTTTCTAATTGTTGGGATAATTGTATTGCTTAATCTGATTATATTTGGAGATTATTGTGACTGGATTATTGCTTAGTATTTGACATTGGGCTGTTTATAGTTTTGATCTCAATTATAATGTTGTGGTTATGACATTTGTATTGATTTTGGAATTAATATATTGTGATTTTCTAAGGTGGCTTAGAATTTTGGATCATATAGTCTCTTGCTAGCTTTAATTCTGTTATTTTGGATTTAAGAGTTCTAATTAAGCATTGGTTTTTAGCATCCTTAATCCCATTTTACTATTCTGGTTGCAGTTAGTAAGTTGGGATTTTAGGAAAATATTTTGTGGCAACTCGAGGTGGCTCGGTTGTTGGATCAAAAGCTTAATTATAATTCTTAATTCATTGTTTTTAACTCCCACATCTTTTAGAGTGACGATTGCCTGCGTTGTTGAATTGGAGGATTGATTTTTATCAGTGTTATCTGTGTCTCTCATTTTCATTTCTTTAATCTCCATTCATTTTAATCACTTTTATATAAAAAAAAAAAAAGTATTTTAATTTCAATTTGATTCGTAGTATTTAATTAACAGCTTATCAAAATTGAAAATCTCTTTTTATAGTTTAGGTTACTTGCATTTATTTACTAGGGTTTAATTTCGTTTTCGGCTCCTCAAAGTGAAACGACCCGAGTTGTGCACTATACTGCATTAATTCGGTTAATTTTTGGAGTAACCCCAAAGCGACAATTAAGGGCAGTTCAACTTCAGTGCTCAACAAACACTTGAATAAAAATTTTTTTAGGATAAATTTGTACCTCAGCCCCAAATAAATAGTGGGGCTTATATTGGCATGCAATCCCATTATGTGGGTTCACTTTTATATCTTTAAGCGTATTACTCCCTACAAGCTCACACTGTTAATTGAGTAATTAAGAAAGGTTTTATTCAGTCAGTAACAGATAATGGCCGGCATTGATTAGACCGAAAAATAATTGCGTTTCCTTTTCAGTCTTTAGCTGCAATTGCAATTCCATGTTTAAAAAAATGGTGGAAGGAAAAGAAAAGGATAGACTATAAGGTAGACAGATGACAAAAATTATTTGATTTATTACATTTAATTATTTTAAGAAAGACTACCCCCAGTCCTAAATATAAGATGTTAATCCACTTTGTCTGTCAAGTTTATAATGTGTTCTTAAAAATATCCCTCTTGATTATAAAGTATTTTCACCCAAGTATAGTTTCAATAGAATAAGAATAATTAAAGAAAGTCAACACATTCTTATTACAGATAACTGACTTAATAATTTTTTTAATATCTCTAAATTATTTATCTAGTTCTTATATTAGGATCATATTCTGAATTTTGAGCTTAGAAGCTTAAAAATAAGTCTAAATTACATAGATTACTAAGTTTACTTGATGAGAAGTCCCATTAGTGCCCTGCAAAGATATATAGAATGGCTTCCAAAAACTAAATCATCAATTTACAATTTTTTTGGGAGAAATTTTCAATGCCAAAAATGAAAGAGAATAAGGACATGAGTGCAAAGAAAGAAATGTCCAATTTAGAAAAAGAAGGTAGAAAGCGTATAGGTACCAAACTATGATTACTGAAAGTTAGAAATACTTAAGTGTAAATAACTATTATGAAGTTACATAATAATTCCCAGAACTAGAAAATGGTTTATCGAATATTTTAAAATAAGGAAAAGGCTTATATGTTTTTATGGGAATAGGATAATGGAACGCTATGGCATGATCAATGTATAAGTGGAATGATACTACAGCCACCGTACAACTGTGTGTTGGTCGCATGTGTTTGGTATATCATCTCCCTCATTCTTGTTTTATGCCTAATATTTTTTTTTGCAATTTTCTCATGCATCCAGGCTACACTTTGTTGTTTATAAAATCTTTTCTATGTAAGAAAGTTGAAAATTTCAAAACACAAATTACAAATGTCGGGGGATCTCTTAGACCTTCAGAGTTTCATGCAGATGGGTAGTAAAAGTTCTATAAAAGCATGTTTTCAGAGGGTTGTTAAAGAAAGCCTAAAGTTGGGTAAAGCAAAACAATTACTACCTCTGATTCTTAATAGAAGAACTAGATAATTAATTTAAAAAAATTAAGAATATTAGTTAATTAAGTTGGTTATTTATAATAAGTTGACTTTCTAAGTCATTTTATTTAATTATGTACATTAAAATTACCTCTTGGTGAGAAACCCTTACAAGTAATAGGTATATGTTGGGAAAAAATTACAAATTTCAGGAGACAAACTAGATTGATGTATAATATATTGGACCAAATTCAACTCTTTAACTAGCTCTCATGTTTAGGACCGGAGATAGTACCATGAGTAACCAAAGGATATATAACGCACACCTTAGCAAATGACCAAAGGATTGCTTTCACATATGTGCTACACTCATGTAAGGGAGGATGGGGAAACCAAAGGCGTATGTTGTGCCTCCTAAGCTTGAAGAATCATGTGCTAAGAGGAATATATATGCGGGATCGAACAGGAACGATGAATCCCTAGTTTTAATTTTTAATTGATTTGTCCATATGATTTATGATTTATTAGGGATTTTAAGATCTTTTAGAAGAATCTGTGTCTTCAGAAGATCTAAATTGCATGCCAAAGGCAAACATGAGATTCTTAGTTATGAAGTAAAATAAATTGAGAAACCGAAAGCCTACTTGGCTTTATATATATCACTCATACATAGATTGGAACACACAAACAAGAGATATTGTTTAAGTAGGACATGGATTCTCTGTCGCCACTCTATATTTAGATCATGCAGCCCTGCTTTTATTTATTTAAAGCTCACTCCTAATCTACCGCAGAGTACGTGGAAATTGATTCCTAGTTTTGTTTGGGAACCCACGCAACGGTGTCCTCATAAAGGAAGTGGCATATTGGAACACTGCCTCGTTTCACTTTTAGCATTTGGAAGGCCAAATGTTTTGGGTACCACTGTGACGTGTCTCTGTGACACACACTCACAGCTTTCACTCTACTCCCATCAGCCCCCTCCAACCACACCGTATAGGCCACTGTGTTCTCTATTTTGTGACAATAGAACACAGCATACACATAATTGAGCTTGTGGCATACCACCAGATTTGCCCCTCCCACCTTCTTCACCCCATTAGTTATTGTGTATTGTTGGTTCTTTGTTTCCTTCTTCTGCATCACCTCGGTAGACAAAGCTTGAACGTTTCTGCCAAGCCTCAGAATGGTGAAATCAAGCATGGATTCTAAAGATGTTGCACAATACTTGTCTTCTCCTTTAATCCCCGACTCCTCACACACTTCAATTGTGTTCTCCATAACCTCAGCTTTTATCGAGCCAGGCTTCGCAGCAAACTTGTTCAGTATTTCAGCCATCTGTTGGTAAAAGAATCATGAATACATGAACTATGATCTGTTTTTTTTTTTTTTAATTACAGTATATCGGATTCGGGGTGTTAGCTGTACTTAGTTTTTACCCACTTTCCAATTTTTTTTCTTTTTTTATCATTAGATTCCGTCAAAGGTTTAATATTATATTTAATTCTTGAAATTTGATTTCATTTTAGTTTTGATACATAAAATTTGAAACCAACGGTTTTTGTCTTTGAAATTTACCCGTATTTTAGTTTTTATCCCTGAAATTTAAAATTAGTGGTTTTGTTCCTTGACATTTGATCTCATTTTGATTTTGGTCTTTATTTCAGGGATAAAAATACTGTTTCAAGGACTAAAAGTCTTCAAGCAGACCGAAATGAAATTAAATTTCAATGAACAAAATGACTAGTTTCAAATTTCAGGACCAAAATCATAACAAAATCAAATTTAAGTAACTAAAGATGATATAACTCTATATAAAATAAGTTTCATTTTGATATCTTACTAGAAAGAAAATAGTACTGTTTTCAGTTTTTTGTGACTTTTCAAAGAATTTGTACCTAAATTAAAAAGAAACTACACTAATTTTAGAGTATTTTTCCCTTGAGAGGGGTCGGCCAGAATGCCATAGTTCACACACAGAAATGGTAAAGTTAGTGAGTCAGACACTACGAACCTTGCTTGAAGAAAAGGGAATGGATTTCACGACATCGCGAGGCAGGAATGAAGGTTGGTTGGAGGATTGCGTAGTGAAGAGAAATTTCATATTGTGACCCGATTTCAAATCCTTTTCCAGGAAGAAGAGAGCTGTTTTTGGGTTATCTTGGAGTTTGTTCTCAAAGTGACCACGAGAAGGACCACCACAATGATGACCAGGAGCACCATAACACTTCTCAGTCCGACTTGGAGTATTGAACACCGTTATACCTGACTTGCCAGCATGAACTATACACATATTAGCACTTAAAGAAACTTACTGTACGACCTTATTTGTCAAGTTAAAAAAATTACGAATGAACAGTGATACTATACTAACCAGGCGCGCGTAGGAGATCAGTGATAGATCTGGGCATTGGAGTAGCGGGAAGCATGGACTTCCAGTAAAGCTCAGGAGTAGGCAAGGCAGTATGGGTAATTGCCACCAAGTTTACACATAATATAAGAATACACATTCTGGTTATGCCACTGATGCGATGGGTGAGGGATGAATCTTCATTACTGAAGAAACTATGAACTGAAGCTGCATATAATGCGTCCATCAATGGAATATAAAGGAATTGAGAGGAAGCATATAACGGGGGAGAGTGCTTAGGATGTGATTCCCTCTTCTGAGATTTGTAATGAATATATAGGCACAGACATAAAGCCTAACATCTTTCATGCATAAAAAATGTAAAAAAAAATTATATGGAAAAAAAATGCATCAGGGAACCAAAAGTTTCATATTTTCGTTGTTTCAAAGTTGAAAGGGACTAGCCTTTTTAGCCTTCCATGCTTTTTCTATGGAAAATAATCCTTCGTGGTGGGTAGTTATGTGTAGAAAATAACGCATTCACAAACCAAATCTCCAAGTGACGTGGAGAAAAAGTTTCAATTTTCGGGGTAATTTGCGTTTCTATCCAATTCTTCCGAGTCATTTCAAATCAATAATGCATTTACTTCTCTAAGAAGTTAAACTAAAAGTCTTCAGTCCAAAAAAAAAAGTTAAACTAAAGGCCTTCCATTCCTATTTTCTAATTTTTTTTTAAATTTATACGAATAGGAAAATTTAAAAAAAAAAAGATCACGTCATTTCTGCAAAAGAAAGTGCTAAGCAAGAATAGCTATATCAAAGATTATGGAGATAGAGAGTAAAAGGATAAAAAACAGATATAGAGAAAGAGGGATATGACTGAGTTATTTATTTATTTATTTTTGTAAAAAGCATTTAAATTTAGTCCTCTAGGAGCAACTATACGTAATGATTCATAGATGGCAATCAAGTATTTTTTTTTTGGTGAAAAAGTATTTTTTTTCCCCTTGAAAAACATAGGATGTTTTGTCCTTTTAAAAAATATTTTGAGGCATATTTTAACCTGGATAAATCCAAATATTAATATAGATACACAAACAGACATTTAAATACATGCCCCCTTTCTTGATTGATTTTTTTTGTGTGTGCATGTTTGGTACATAACTTATTAAATTTTCTGAAAAACGAGAAAAAAGAGAGATATAAGGGAATGATTTGTAAATGCAAAGAGAAAATTTTAATGAGGGTGAAATTAAAAAACTCTCATCAATTTAATGTATTTTAATATATGAATTATAAGTGACTGATAATTAAAAATTAGAGTGATAATTTACAGGAATTTTCTTTTTTTTTTTTGGGTTGAAATTCACAGGAATTTTCTATTATAATTAAGGATTACCCTAAAATTTCCTTGTTTGTCATATTTACTGGAGCTAACCTTGATGAAAACTGCCTAGCATGTGCAATATTATAGAGATTAATTGGGGAGAAATGGATGAATATTAGACAGAAAGTGGATTGGAGTTTTAAATTTACAATCAGATTGAATATGAAACTAACTCTTATGTTAAAGACCGGAAGTAGTATAGGATTCACTTAAAAACTCAATAGCTTAAATTTGACTTGATATGACTTATTTAAAATTCATTCCTTAATTTTTGAATTATTTAAAGGTTTAATTTTACTCCTAGTATTATTTTACATGTGCAATTTTAGTCTTAATCCCTTTAATGGTGTAATTGTACTCATAATTAGTCCATGCAGCAAGTCATGGAGAAATAATTAATTGAGACAATTTTACTTCCTTTGAAAAAAAATTTGAAACTTTACTGGACCCTAAGAATTAAAATGAAATTAAATTCTAATTCGGGTAGCTAACACTTGAAAATAAGAAGATAGGATGTGAGACCTGAATTGACATTTTGAAAATGTTGTGAAATTACCCATAAGTCTTTTTGTGACAAAAACTAGTTATGAAACTTGTTAATTCCAGTTTAGTACTTATCATTACCAGTTCAACACTATCATTTTTAATTCACAATTTGTTATGTAACTAAAATAATGCAGAATAAAAAAAGTTATGAAAGTTGTCATTTCCAATTCATTACTTGTCATTGCCAATTTAACACTTGTCATTTTCAGTTCATAACTTGCTAATTAACTAACTAACTAAAATAATATAGAACAAAACAAATTATGTGCGGAAGTTATCATTTTCAATTCAACATGTGTTCTTGTCAATTCAACACTTTTCATTTTTAGTTTTATTGATTGATGTCATTTATGTTACATAAGGGCATATGGGTAATTTCATGATATTTTCAAAAAGACAGTTTAGGCCTCACTTCTATCCTGTCGTTTTTAAATGTTAGCTGCAGAATTAAAATTTTATACATTTATACTTTTTTTAGCCATTTTCCCAAGCATTTGCCCTTGCAAGGCGGGACGGTGAGTGATGAATTCTAATGGTTTTTTTTCAAGATGGTTATTCTAATAATAGTAGTTCTATACTTCTAGCCAATAAATTTGAGTAGCAAAAATATTTTTTTAAAAAAACACTTATTTATTATAAATAATTAATATAATTTATTTTTTATTATATTTAAACTAATCAATTAGTCCTTATATTTAAAATAAAAAGTAGTGTGTGTATATTTATTCAAAGAATAACAAGTCAAAAAAGTAGACAACTCAACAACCTATGGTACGCAATCTGTGCGACGCAAGATTTCATGACGTGATTCTGTCACGTGGATTTGGTGGTTATTTTTCTTCGGTCTTCTTGGGTCACTCACTTCATTCCAAAAAAATGATAAATAAATAAAAAGGGGATTCCTTTATAATATGCGGCCACTTTCAAGATTCATTGCATCCGTCACAGTAGCAATCAATCGAAACTGCATTATTGCGCGCCTTCACAGCATAAGATGGAGCATCAATAACTTGATAAGGATGCTGAGTCATAATTTTTCGCCGACTTGAATGACGAAGTTATGACGCCTACGGATGAAAAATGATAAAAATATAAAGGATAAAGATATAATTTTAGTGATACCATTTTACTCATGATTCTTTTTATATAAAATTATATTCAAAGACTGTTTTTTTTATATATAATTTATTATTTTAAACAAAAATAAAAATAAAAATGTATTTTTATATAATTATCATATTAACATATATCCTTTTTAATGACTTCCACATAAAAAATGATTATGAAAACAACTATCTACACATTTTTACTTTATTAAAATAAATTTTTTCAGAAAATCTAGTCATAATATCTTTTTTAAAAATATATTCACATTTTTTTAATCTATACTTACAAAATTAATTTTTTTTAAAATGTATTCTTCAAAATCCTCAAATTTGTTTTTCAGAAGTTATTCTTTAAACTCTAACACCCGGTAAGTGCTGTATTAATATTTTTAAAAGATGTTACCCATTAAACACTAATATTATAATAACAGCCACCAGTCACCACACTTGTTCTCTCGCCCAAATTCCCATCTTTCAGTATTCTTCCTTACTTTGCTTCAATCTTCCTTGGTTTCTTCTCTTGCGATTGAACTGAGTCTATGTAGGCAGTTTAGGATCTTTCTAACCCCTTTCTTGGTTTCGATACATTTGACTTCGGGTATTTTGTTCTACCAACTAGGGGGGCCATTTTGAAATTTCTCCGAAATGACTTGTTATTTTTCCTTTAGAGGGTCCACTGATGTTAACCATTCAGTATTTGTAGACCAATTAATTTAGATCCATATATATATATCTATATATATATAGCATAGAATCTAAATTATATATGCGACTTTCTATATCTATTGATAAGGATAATTTCCCATAAAATGTACATACTTTTCTTTTTCATCAAGGACATGTCTAAGTAGAGCATGGTTGTTTAATTAAACCTCTTTATCACTAAAAAATTTTTTTTTTAAAAAAATATTGCATAAAAGAAATTTTACGATATTTGAATAAATTTTCAAAATAATCAGAAAATAGATAAAGAAAGTCGAATATATAATTTTAGATGATATGCTGTATACATGGATCTATTGATAAGGATAATTTGAGTTACTTGTGATAAGTGTGGGACTGACGTCTTGCTTTGCTTATGCAAGATTTGAAAGAATACTTAAAGAATTTTGTGTTTGAAGCTACGAATTAAAGCAACTAATCAAGCGCATTAGTTGAAGCCCAGATACAAAAATTCTTCGATTATAATATTACCCCTCTGTTTCAAAATATAAGGTAAACTTTGTTAAAGTTCTTGGGTTTTTTATCAGACAATATTTACTTTTATTTAAACATTTAATGAGTTTTTTTTAAAAAAATTTCTATATATTCTCTTTCTTCTTTGATCATTTGTTGCATCTTTTACTCATTCTCTTTATTAATGATAACTTATTTGAGAAAAAAATATATGTCTTACATATTTATTGTTTTAAATTGATTTCAACTAATTTCTTAATAAATGTAAATGGATAAAGTTTATCTTATATTTTAAACTAGAAGGAGTATGAGATTAAATACCATTTTGAAATTTCATTATATAACTTTTTGCACATCATTCATTGTCTAGGAGCACAATTATTACCAAAATTTCACTTGCTTCTAGCAAATTTTTTAAATTCACAGAAAATAATCAAATCAACAAGTGAATGAGATCATTTAAATTCTTGATTTATTGATAATTATTTAATAAGAACAAAAAGTCTTTGCATGTGTACGCCCATCACATTCAATTCTCTAGATATTGCAATCTGTCGCCAATACAAGTTTTTAAAAGGGAACCATTTTGAAGAAATTACGATGAATTTTTCTATCTTTCGAAAATTCTTTATGAGATGACTCTACAACTCCTTATTCACGACGAAAAATTAATTCACAAATTTTTCTTCTGAATAAACTATAATGAATTTTTCGAAGTCTCTTGGTAGAAGAATTACTCCAAAAACTTTTAAAACTAAAGTAATTCCTGCAAATTGCTATTTTCATATAATGTTAGGGAGTTCGTAACAGATATAAAGATTTAGGTAAACCATGTACTTTTGGTTTGTATGGATTTTTCCTTCATTTTTAAAATCTAGAAGGGTCGTGGTTAACAAAGAAAAACAACTCTGCCTCAAAAAAAGAAAGAAAGAAAAAGAAAATAACTCTCTTTATTATGGGCACTCCGTGCACATCACTCGCTGATGGTCGGTTGATTACAATTTTGTTGCTTCTAATCAATTACTCGAAAATTTTCCAAATCATTGACAAGTGACCAGTTGAAATAATTTCCTGTAGCTGATACAATTCGATTCTTAAGTGACATCTTCCAACCAATTACCTAATGATACAGTTCAATTATTCAAAGAGTAAAGACAATTTGGCATAATAATTCATCATCCCTTGTACGTACCACAATTCATTAGATTTCCTGTGGGAGAATAATAAATAAGTAGGAACCGAATAATGAAATTACTTGTTTCTAGGAGTCAGTGGACACTTGTTTCCCCTTATGAAAGGAATCAAAGTCTCAGATTAAGCATTGAAATTGAAATTTATTATGAATAATTTAATAATGAAATTACTTGTTTCTAGGAGTCAGTGCACACTTTTTTATCCTTATGAAAGGGATCAAAGTCTCAGAATAATCATTGAAATTGAAATTTATTATGAATAATTTATCTCTTTATGTGGTCCTTGTTTATAATTTCCATTCTCCAAGTTTCATTTTATCTGGAAGATATATATATATATATATATTAAGAAATTAGTTAATATTTTATTTATATATCTTCTATCAGAATTTCAAAGGTATGAACTGTCGAGAATCTGTACGTCTTTGGAGGATCTAATTGGAACACACAAACAAGACATGCTATTTATCAAAATACATACATAGAGATCTTACACTGCAGGTACACGAAAGTGAAACTTGGATTCTTCGTCACAACATGAAAAGAAAGAGGCATAGTAGTTAAAATGTTAATTTCACTTTACCTAAATCCCTAAATCCTAAAACTTGAGAGAAATTGAAAGCCATGCCGCCTGCATATATATCATGTATTTAGAACACAGAAACAAGAGATATTGTTTAAGTAGGACACAGATTCTCCATCACCACAAATATATAACACTGAAGTTCATGCTTAGTTTTGTTTGGGAAACCACGCAATGGAGTCTTGAAGAAGGAAGTGGCATATTGGGACACCCCCTGGTTTTTCTTTCAGTATTTGGAAGGCCAAATGTTTCGGCTTCCAATGTGATGTGTCTCTGTGACACACATTAACAGCTTTCACTGTGCTCCCATCGGCCCCCTCCAACGACGCCGTATAGGCAACCGTGTTCTCCATTTTGTGACAGAAACAAAGCATACACATAATTGAGCTTGTGGCATACCGCCACATTTGCCTCTCCCACCTTCTTCACTCCCCCACCTTCTTCACTCCATTCTTTATTGTGTATTGTTGCTTCTTTGTTTCCTTCTTTTTCACCACCGTAGACAAAGCTTGCAAGTTTTTGCTAAGCTTCAAAATGGTATAATCAAGCATGGATTCTAAGGACGTTGCACAATACTTCTCCTCTCCTGTAATCGCCGGCTCCTCACACTGTTTAATTGTCTTCTTCATAGCGTCGGCTTTTACTGAGCCAGGCTTCACAGCAAACCTGTTCAATATTTCAGCCATCTGTTGGTAAAAGAATCATAACTACATGAATTATCAGTGGTTACAAAAGTGGCAGACTGAGTTTGACGCTAGGTATACCTTGGTTGAAGAAGAGGGAATGGATTTGACGACTTGACGAGGCAGGAAGGATGCTTTCTTGGAGGACTGCGTGAAGAAAAAGTTCATTTTGTGACCAGCCTTCAAATCCTTTTCCAAGAAGAAGCGAGCTGTGTTGGGGTTACCTTGGAGTTTGGTCTCAAAGTTACCCTGAGGACGACCATAATAAACTAACTCAAAGGGAGGAGGACCAGGACGAGGACGATCGTATGATATTGCCTTCCCACGGTCACCTGATGACTTGGCAGCATGAACCTCATGTTAGCAATGAATCAGGAAACTTAGCTTGAAGAAAATTAGCAGTGAAGGGCAATACAATACTCACGAGGTGGGTGAAGGAGATCTGCGATAGATTTAGGCATTAGACTAGTGGGAAGCATGGACTTCCAGTAAAGCTCAGGAGTTGGTAAGGCAGCATGGGTAATTGCCACCAAGTTTACATATAATATAAGAATACACATTCTGTTTATACCACTGAAACGATAGGTGAGGGTTGAATCTTCATTACTGAAGGAACTATGCATCGAAGCTGCATATATGCATCCATTAATGGAATATAAAGGAATTGAGAGGAAGCATGTAATGGGGGAGATGCTTAGGATGTGATTCCTTCTTCTGAGATTTGTAATGAATATATAGACACAGACACATATTTATATATGTCAATATTTAATTTGAAGAAAAATCAGGAGAATAAAAAAATGTCAAGGATAAAAAAGATACGCAAGAAAGACAAAAATAAATATTAAAAGAAAAGACAGAAAGAATAAAAAGAGAAAGTTCAAACGTGGTGTGAGATGGGAAAAAAAAGACTTGCTGATGAGAAAGAAGAGATAAAAAAAAGAAAGAGGGAGGGAGAGGAAAAGAAAGGAAGTGATGAAAGTCAAAAAAGAAGAACAAAAGCCATTCAAAAGGAAAAAAAAAAACAAGAAGAACAAGCGTAAAAAGGAGAGAAAGGCATGATATTATACATCGTTTACTTGCTATAATATTACCTTCCCTCCTACATATAAAAGCTAGTCAAAAAAATCAATTTGGCGTTAAATATAAAATTTTAATCTGTCTTTTTTTTTCATATTTATTCAGTTTTCTTCAAAATAGTCTCTATTGTAATTGTACATCTAAAATGTTTTCATTCTAATGCATATAATTAAAGTGGGTATTTTAGAAAAGACAATACATATTTATTACAAATAAGTAACTTAACTAATTTTTTTAATTAATATTTATAAATTAGTTATCTAGTTCTTATGTTAAGAACATAAGATAGTACTCCCTTTGTCTCATTTTATAAGCAACAACTTTCGTCTCCCTCTTGTCCCTAAATAAATATAAGCAACATTTGTAAGCATATGTATGACAAGAAGTTACACATATTCAGCCACTGATTTAATTTAAAAACATAAAAAAAAATATTTAATTTGTACTTCCAAGTGCATGTATCCATGTATTTGAGTTACCTTGTGTAACAACCCCTTATAACCATACAATTACTTGCATATTAAAGAGTGATTAAATTTTTAATGGCTATTATAGTAGGGGGAAAAAAGAGTTAACCCAAAACCTTTAAATGATAACTATGGGAGAAAGAATAAATCATATAATTAAAAACTACTATAGTTATAAAAAACTTTTCTAATCATTTTGAAAAGTCAACTATGGTTAAAAAAAGCAAAACCAATCAAGTAGAATTTTGCCATAGTTATTAAAATTTCACATCATAGCAAAGTACTAACAACTTTTTCATGGTAGCAAAATATTTACCATAGTAAGGAATAATCGAACCATCAAATTCATCATAAAACTCCGAATCCTAGAATTAGAACTAAAACAAGTCATATATGGGCTAGGGCATTTGAAGCACATATAATAACAACCACTGCAACATATTATAACAACCAAAACTAAAATAAAAGTCACATGTATCCAAAAAGGGGCTTTGCCTAACAACACAAGTCTTAGTATGCAATAGAATATTCAAAATATGTTAAGTATATATATAATAAAAAGGCCCTAAAGTTTAGTAATATACATCGATCAACACATGTAAAACAAAAGGAGTTTATACAGAGTAGAAAAGAAAACTCAAACCTTGGATAACTTTCCCTCTTTCCCTTAGAACCAACATATGAACCTTTGCTAGAAAATAATAAATAACCACAGGATGAGTCAAGTAGACGCAGTAACTACAATTCCAATTCAACAAATATAAAAGGAGTGATTACAAGATAGTTAAGTAAGCAAAATATAAATTCGTATAACATAGTTTAAGTAGTTTTATAAAAAAAAATATAATAATTCAAGATGTAATTTGAATGCATGAAACTCCATCAACCATCATTATAACCTTTGATAGAACCCATTGACTAACCACAAATAATAGGATTCATCTATTTAACATGACTACACCAAGCTCTCCAATAATGAGGTATAATTCGGTTACAAGTTACAGAGTTCATATCAAACCATAGGTTCTCAACTGCTTAGAGACTATCTTCTTCCTGGCACCATGCACTTCACATCAAAAGGTGAAAGTAGCAGTTGTATTTCTTGTAGATGTTACTAACAGGTGGTGGGACAGTGTTAAACCATCTCATGGAACCTTCCCTACATAGAAAGTGTTTACGGAAATGTTCTTCCAATACTATTTCCCTTCAGCCCTGTAGTTACTCAAAGGGAACTCATGTTAAAGCCTAGTGGCCAGCTTTTCCTACATCGGAGCATGGCTTTAATGTTTTTAGGGCCTTCCGTGTCATATATTTATGTTTACAATTCAATTTGGAATGACATGAAATGCAGGGAAACGGATCAATGATTATCTAATTAGAGGTCTTGCAAAAGTTGTAGTTTTTGTATTTATTTAGATAAAGATAAATCTAAAAGTCTTAATTGGCTCCACGCGGTTTATATTTATTTTTCACCTTCTTTTATTCTCATTTTTTTGGCTCTTTCTGGATAACCCGACTTAACTACAAAAGTGAATTCTCTTCTTTATCTTAGTCTTTTTACCCCCCTCTTTTTTCATTTTCATTGCCATTAATTATAATTTTAACTGTTCAAATTTAATATTTTATAAAACTATTAATGTAAATTTATATGAAAAATATGTAATAAATTTAAATTGTTAAAATTTGATTTCAACCATATATAAAGTGAAAAAAATAAAATTTTTTAATAATAATTTATGTTGTAAGCTATTTACATCAAATTTTAATCAAATTAAATCAATGGTGAACGATAAAGGTCAAAGATAAAAGAGAAAAGCGAATTCCATCAATCACATGGCAGACACAGTCGATATTTCCCCCATCGCCACTACTCTTTCCTCCCTGCTTCGTAGAAGTTGAGCAAAGCGATATGGAAAATAATTAAAAGAAGTAAAACAGAAAATATATTAGAATGGCCATTGATGAATACAGTCAAGTAAATTAAAAGAACGCCATCGTGCCACCTTCTTAGAAAAGCAAAGTCATTGACTCCATGAGACGACTTTGACCGCTTTGAAAAATTTAGGATTCCAGTATAAAGCCTCATATTTGTAACACCCCGAATTTTCTGACTCAGGATGAGCAGAAAAGAGAAAGTTCATTAAAATTATTTAATAGCTCAATCAACTAGGAAAAAAAATTATGGAATATTGATTTTTCAAGGTTTAGAAATATTTTGGAAAAGTTCATTCCCTGAAAAGTGGCTTAAATGATTTTAAAGCTATTTTCATAGCAAAATGGGTTATTTTCTTAGAAAATACTTAGAGGTTTCTAATTAACTAGAAAATTTTAGGGAAATTATCTTATGAGGTAAAGAAGTTATTTGAGGCATAAAATCCTTAAAATGGGTTAAGGATTAATTTCTGAAATTAAGAGCTATTTTCTTGGAAAATTTCAGAAAAATAGTTAGGAATTGACTTTTGACCTGAAATTTTTTTTTTAGAGAAATTATTTTATGGGTCAAAGAAGATAATGGAGAAGGAAAATCCAAACAAAACATCATGGAAAATTTTTGGATTTATTCTATGATTTCAGAAATTTAGTGAGAGGATGAAATTGGAAGTAAGAATGGTTAGAGGGGCAATTTGGTCCAAGAATATCTCTCACCTCATACGTGTACCCTGCCCTTTTAACCATCAGACACTCACCCACTTCTTCATTCATTTCGGTGTCCGTGGAAAATCAGAGTGAGAGCGCGAGCGAGAGAGGGAGAGCAGGGGAGAAGATGCTGTGCTGAATCTTGGTGATCGGAGGTGATTCAATTGCATGCAAACCGGTTAAACTGTCAAGGTGAGCATCCTGATCAAACTCCCACCATTTTCTTTTCTGTTATCTGCGTAGTTGGGTTGTAATGGAAGAGAGAGAGAGATGAGTTAGTGAGAGAAAATGGACAAAAGAAGAGGAGGACCGGTTGGTTCGTGTCCTGAGGCGAGAATGAGGTATATGATACCGGTTTTTGGGTTTGCATGTAAGGTTGATACTCTGTTTTGAGATTACCGAACTGATATAACATATTGGTATACTTCGACGTCGTTGCATGCGCTGCTTTGCTCTGTTTATGATTACCAAACAGGTGGTTATTTCTGCAAGTTGTTGGCTTCGGGTATAGCTTGTGAAAGTGAAGTATAATAATCCAAGCTTGTAGTTGCTGATTTAAATTCATGTGTTTCGAATCTGAAACTTTGTTTGACGGCATGCCATTCAGTTTTTACTGAAGTTAAAACAGAGCATTAATATGTGAATCTATACTCCCAAAGCTGGAAAAAAATCAGATTTATTCAGTGGGGCTGTCCGAAGTTTTAAGGAGAAAATGGTACCCAAAAGCCAATGGACTTGTATTATAGAGTTGTATGATATTTAGAGGACCGGGACGTGTATGTGCGTGCGTGTGACGTAATGAGTGAAGTTGGGAGCTTTATATATTAGATGGTTAAGTTTTCAAAAGTAGAGAGATATTAGTGGGTTGAATTATGAATGTTCAAGTATGTTCGTAAATTTGGAAAATATTTCCAGATTAAGTGCAAGGTTATGTGAATCATTGGAGATATAAACACACATGTGTATAGGGATGTGCTGTAATGAAAACTCAATATATAGTTACTGTTTAGTATCTCATGATGTTGAACAAGTATTGTAGGTTATTAAATTG